TAATCACCAATTCCTTTCTACTATAAAGTTCACACTTGATATCATTTAAAGGTAATGCAATTTTCACTATCAACAATAATATCGCTTGGTAATCTCTCTTCAAACCCAATTTCATACACATTTTTTGATTCTTGTTCATTGTACATCCCACACTCAAACATGTAAGTTGATTGATTTGATCGTCGTAATGTCCGCGACCACTTCTTTCACTGCAGTGGAAGGTCATGTGTACTTAACTTTTGTCCAAGTGTACAGGAATTTTAGAGGGTGTTTGGTGAGAATTAAAATTAGATTTTTAGTAGATTGTGATAGAAGTTTTAAAGTTGAAAAATTGTGCGACTTATGAAAGATGTGGTTAATATTGCTTTGATTTGAATTAAAATCAGATTTTAATTCGGACCAAACATAGACTTTTTTATGAGCGTGAGTAAGTTGAAATCTGTTAACCATATTGTCTAGTCAAAAATCGAAGTCAGCAAAATCTGTATTTTAAATTAAGCTCCTGCCACAAAGAATTGACTTTTGACTATTGGGGTTACGGATATCACGTGGAATTAATGATTTATCCTTATTACTGTCTGAAAATATCGGAGGTTACGGTCAACACGGGCAGTAGGTCGGGCAGGCCGATTCGAGGAGGGTGGCCCTTCATCCAAGGTATTCGGAACTTAAACAACACAAATTCCCTCGAAAATTAAGCTCAATTCTTCCGCAGATAACAACTAACTTTACTAATTTCTCATTTCCCATTCCCCAAATTCATTTCAGTAATAGTTATTTATCCATTTCCTACATTGGCTCTGTGATTTCTTCTTGAATTGGTGGTATTGATAATAAGAAAGAAATAAACATGGGGATTGACGAGATATTTGGGGATTCACGGCGGGAAAATGTTCCCACAAAGAGCGCAATCTACGTGTGGGGATATAACCAATCGGGTCAAACGGGTCGGAGGGGCAAAGAGCACAACTTGAGGGTCCCGAGGCAGCTTCCGCCGGAGCTATTTGGTTGTCCCGCCAGCGGAAATTCCCGGTGGCTTGATATTGCTTGCGGCCGTGAGCACACTTCCGCCGTCGCCTCCGATGGCTCGCTCTTCACCTGGGGTGTGTAAAGTAACATCCCTTCTTTGAAATTATTATTTTTAAATTGTCTTGTCATTTTATTAGTCTTCGCTATGCATGTTTTTCTAGATTTTGAATTTTTAACCTAATTTAATTTATCATATTTTTTTTAAAAAATTGCGAATTAGCTAGTATTCCTATGTTTTCTTTTCTTCATATTCGCTGTTGTGGAATTTTAGTTAATTGAATAATTGGAGATAATAACAAGTTTAAAATTGTGCACGAGATTGTATAATCGGGTGGAAGAAAGGCAAATAGTAGAAAATAACATGTGAAAAATGGAGTATACATAGAAAATGAGATGAATTGCCTGTCATGTGATTATATTCGTTATCGATATTACTTGCAACATTCTTTTTTCTACTTTGTTATCTTCGAAATTCAGTTAACTACCCCTTGTTAGCTTAAACTAAAGTATGATGAAAAAATATGAAATGAAGTTTGAAGAAGGGAGGGAGAAGGAGCCTTGACTGACAACAGATAGTGTACGATCTATTCAGTCTTATAGTTCGGCTTGATGGCCTGCTTCTTTTCCTCGATATTTTTCCGGTTTTCTTGCTTGTGGCTTTAATATATTAGGAACGTGTTCTTGTATGCTCCTAAACAGGGGCTAATGATTTTGGTCAGCTGGGAGATGGGACTGAAAAGGCTAGGAAACACCCGAAGAAGGTGAAGCAGTTGCAATCTGAATTTGTGATCTCTGTATCTTGTGGGGCACATTGTACTGCAGCAATTGCAGAACCACGTGAAAATGATGGAACTATATCGACAAGGAGACTCTGGATTTGGGGACAAAATCAGGTTTGTTAGACTGAAATTTTTTGTTCTATTTCATTCTATACAAATATTTTGATCACTGCATAGACATCTATATTTACAGTATCCATTATAGAGTAAAACAGAGATATCTTACTGTAAATACAAAAATCTATTTGAAAGTTAGTATCCTATCACAATTCCTATTGTTGGATCCCAGTTAGATTAAAGCTAGCTCAAGCTTACTAAATGATCCCTCCACATTCTAAAAACCATTTTTTTGGCCTTTTCCAAATTTTAGCGGATGATCAACAAAGGCTTGTCTCCATTTTCAGCCGACTGTCCATCGTTCTCTGATTTTCTTAAAGTAAATTTCTCAATCAGTCAGTGACTTACGGTTAATGCTGAAGAGAGAAACAAGGCAAGTGTATTACTAAGTTAGGGCTTAAATTTCATCATCTAACCTTTTGGTTATCTTTCAGCAGGTATTAAATGAAATTTATTTTTCTGGTCTCAACACTTCCATTCTTCTCTACTAGTCAGGCTCTTTTCCTTTTTAGGGTTTCATCAAAATATAACATTCGCAATTTTGTGGACATCCTATAAGCGATAAAGCTTTTATAGTTAGAGACTCACTGAAAAGGTTACAGATGTGATACTGTTCTTGATCACAATGGTCATAAATAGTATTGTCAGCATACAAGTAAAATTATATATAAGAAAGTGCTGAACCTTTTTCTTTAACCAAACAATGTACATGAATTAAATTTCCTCATCAGGAGAAATTATAAATTTTTAGTTCCTGGTGTAACTTATAATTCCTCTAGAGCCATTCTTTATTTCCTATTTCTTTTGATATCTCTTGATCATTATCCTTCTTTCTTTATTCACAGGGTTCTGATTATCCACGCTTATATTGGGGAGCCTTCACTCCAAATACGGTATTGATCTGTGTCTATTAAGTTATGAGGATATTTCTTACACATGCATAAGATATGCTTCAATTTCAAAGATGGGCCTCATATAGGCCACTTGTAGGCCGAATAATTTAATAGTTTGTATTATTAGTTTCCCAATCAGATCTATTCTCCTAAGTGAGATTCTCCTTTTGGATCTTTGTGCTTGTATCTTGTGATCAAAATATACAGTCTAAGTTCTTCTCAGAACGTGATAGTATTTTCAACTATATGATGTGTACGAGTAACTTGCCATTGGTTTGCACAAGTTGTCTTGCGATCCTTAGAAGATTATCGTTATTAGAGAAGCAGTTAGTCATTAATTATCTTATGTTTTTCTAGACTTGTCATTACTAAACTAAAAGACAAGTTAAACTCAATGGTTATTTGACAAGTTTTGGGACTGGTTGGTGGATTGCTTCATGATAATATGTTTGTAAGATGGAAGTAGGATAAATGGGAATGTTAAGACTATGTAGAACTAATAAATTAAGAAATGAGATTTACGCAAACAAGTGGGGATTTGACCAATAGAGATAAATTAAAGATGGGACAAGTGGCGGTGCCATGTCATGCTTAGAACCAAGCAACCCATTGAAAAGAGAAAATGAGAGGTGGATCAAAATTGATATGGCCTGAAGTGTTCACAAGAAGTTTGATTTTATTCTAATTTCAAACAGATGTGGCTCTAAATTGAACAGAGTTGTGAAAAAATTATGTATGCATCCGACCCCATATTACATCCGACCCCATATTTATTGGCAATATCACTTCGCTCATTGTTGTTTGCCTGCTGTCAAATTTTATTTATTATTTATTTATTATATTTTTTTTTCCCGCATAATGTCAAGTATCTATTGTAAAATTTTGTCAATTCAGGTTATTCGCCAAGTTTCTTGTGGGGCTGTTCATGTGGTTGCTCTGTCAGAAGATGGCTTGCTACAAGCATGGGGTAATGTTTTCTAGATTCTTACATACAGTTACCATACTAAATATTCTTGATTATTCTATGCTTCTGAGGTACACATCTTCTATGCATTTGTTTGGTTCGATGCTAGGTTTGCATGTTTATGCATAAATGCACAGGACCTTTCATCTTTGTTAGCTGTATCTTACTAATACTAGACCTATATGAATCAAAGTGTAACCGTTCAAATTTGGGTGTTTCATGTTTTATTAATTAGAGTTGTGTTAATGTTCTGCTAAATCAGGCTATAATGAGTATGGCCAGCTTGGCAGAGGTATTACCAGTGAAGGCCTTCAGGGGGCTCGTGTTATTAATGGTTATTCTAGGTTCCTTGATGAAGCCCCCGAGCTTGTGAAGATTACCCAAGTGTCATGTGGAGAGTACCACACAGCAGCCATATCGGAGGAAGGCGAGGTGTAAGTGTTCCAGAGGACCTTTTTGGACACAAGTCGTTTTATTAAGCATGATAATAGTGGTTATCTGCATGGCATGAGTGAAGTTATAGGAAGTTGGTATAGAATTTATATTGGGAATTGGGGTTTAGAATTCCACAACCTTGAGTTGTCTATTAGTTGTATTAGAAGAAGAAAATTGATGAAGGGAAGCATTGCATAAATGTGGATATATTTTGCCTGGAATTTTTTATGTTTCTTTGAAGAACTGTAGCATAATCATATAGGTTATAAGTTAGATACTCTGGAAACATGCTATTCTTATGTAACATTAAATATTCTTGTAGACAAAAATGGTAAGCCATTAATTCATTCTTGTCTTCAAGTCACTGTACAAGTTGCCCCCTTCGGAACATCACGATTGCAAATCTTTGGGCAAGAGTTGTTGCCTCAGGTATTCATCTTGATCATTTGAAATTATTGTTTTTTATTTCGCAGCTATACTTGGGGACTTGGAAGCATGGGTCAACTTGGGCATTGTTCACTTCAATCTGGTGACAAGGAACTGTTGCCTAGGCGTGTAGTTTCCCTTGATGGGACGTTTGTTAAGGTTATTTCATGTGGCGGGGTGCACACATGTGCTGTGACTGATAGAGGGGCCCTATATGCTTGGGGTGGAGGCCAGGCTGGGCAGTTGGGACTTGGGCCTCAAACTGGATTTTTTTCGTGCACTCCAAATGAATCTGAAATGATACTTCGCAATATACCTGTTTTGGTGATCCCAACTGGTGTGCAACTTGTTGCCTGTGGACATTGTCACACACTCATTTCTACCAAAGACGGAAGAATTCATGGGTGGGGTTACAATAGTTATGGTCAAGCTGCTAATGAGAAATCAACATATGCTTGGTATCCTTCCCCAGTTGATTGGTATGATATGGAAAATCATTACTTCAATTATTTTCCAAGTAAGAGCATGTTTGGCTAAAGCCGGAAAAAGTAAATATGTAAAGAAAAGTAAGTAAAGAATTTTATTAAGGTTTGTAAAAAAGTTACTTAAAAGTAACTTTTAATCTTGTGCATATGTTTGCCTAAGCTTAAAAGTTACATCAAAGTGCTTCTTTTTTGAGTCTTAGCCAAACATGCTCTTATGAATGAGGAAGTATGCTAATGAAAGCCTTTTCTCATGTAGGTGTGTAGGAGAAGTTCGGAAATTGGCTGCTGGAGGTGGCCACTCAGCAGTATTAACAGATGCATGTTCCTTAAAAGAATTGTGCGAGTTTAGGCTAGCAGACACTGTGACTCTGTCAAATGCTTCAGTGATTGAGGATGTTGCATCGAGAACTGGTTCAGATGCTTTAGCACGCCTTTGTGGAAGATTAAGGTAATATCATGTTTATTTGGAGCATGCTTATTTTCATATATGTGTGTGTGTGTGTGTGTGATTTATTATATGGTTTTAAAAATGGCCACGGTACCCATGAAATTACAATGAATTTGCATTTTGCTTGTGGTGAACAATGTTATCATCTACAAAATTGTTACTGGCCTTGGTTATTGCACGAGGATTGGAAGTTTACAACTTGAGGAGGGGGCAAGACTTGACCCGCGAACAAATAATGCTATTTATCATCATAATGATGGACATCGGTTATGTTTCAATCCATTATTGTTTACATTTCTCTCTCTCTCTCTCCTCCCTCTTTCTCTCATAAAAATTGAACTATCCAATCCCATTATTCTACAGACAGTCACATTATCGATGTTTTATTATTATAATGATAAATAACATTATTCATTAGAGACTCAAAAGTTTTGACTATAAAACAATGAGTTGCCTTATCCAAGGAACTAGGGGATACAAAAACATCGAGAAAATGGCCTTATGGGCCCAAGAATACAATGATGGTATAAATGAAACGGCTCAGTAACATAATAGCACCAATGGTGACGTGTTAATTGAAGTACCTGCATCATGGGAATTCTCATCAGTTGTCATCCACTGTTCTTTTTTCATGTTTCTTGACTTCTATAGTAAGAAATCCATGCGAAACTTTTTTTGCTTTTGCAGGAAGCATTTGCTTGATGGTGGAGATTGCAACTGTGATGATGAATTTGGTGTCTGAAGACATTGGCAGAAAAGAGTCACCATTGTTTCATTGTTGTATTTCTATATTGCAATTATTCAGCACGAGAAAACTAAAATTGAGGGTTCTTGTGCATTGAAAAATGTCTTGTATTGTCGACATTTTCTGTACATCTCATGGAAAGTTGACATTCTTATAAATATAAATAAAACTTGTAGCAATCAACTTTATTGAATCTTTGTCATTTTCTTCCTGTCCAGGCTAGGCTACCGTTTTGATATTTAAGCCTATGTTTGGTTTAGATGAAAATAAGATTTTAGTAGATTTTAATAAAAATTGATGATTGTACCGTTGAAAAAGTTATAAAAGTCGTGAGTTCCTTGAAATATGTGATTGAAAATGAGTTTCAACAGAAAAATAAATTTTAGAAAATAACTCCAACGGGGGCTAAATTTGAGCAAAAGAGATGCCAAAGGAACATGGGTGGACTTTAGTGGCATGGTTAAATTTTGCTGAAAGGCTTAAAAAATTGTAGGGATGGCAACGGGTGGAATGAGGCGGGGCTGAAAAAATTTCATTTACCTTCCCATTTATTATTTATTTTTAAAATTTTTAAAATATGATTTAAATTGAATATGTAATAAAATAAATAGATTCAGCATGGAATCAGTTCTTCGTCCCTGCCTCGTTTATTGATTCCTATCTCGTTTGGAGAGGGGCAACTTAAATTGTCGAGACACAAAAATTATTATCGTTTGTTGATTTCCTCTCTCATTTGGAGAAGGGCAACTTAAATGATCGAGTCGAGACACAGAAAAATTATGACATAGTGTTGCACGATACAAAATTAAAAGATTAGTGAAGCAATAACACACACTATATAGATGCTTCTGTAAGTTGAGCACTGTTCAACATTGCAATTCTCTCTTTTATGCAGATTTGATATTTGGCATGCTAGTCATTCATGGTTATCATCTAAAATTTCCAATCTCCGGTGGCCGGAAAAATAGTTATTGGTTGGCGAGGCGGAGGAGCCAAGGCAGCATCGGGGAAGTAGATTGAGGGATAGTTTGATATCCGCCGACTTGTTCATTTCGGGCTCCTGCTTGCTCGAAAGCGCCCCTGCAAAATCCAAATTGGAATATTTACGTCTTCGTTGAAAATTAATATAGATATCCTTTGTTTTTTGTAACGAAATTACAGATAGATTAGATCAGACGAGTTAAGTTAATTCTCTAGTCTCTTCCACTTCTCAAAGATTCTCTTAATTTACTATTCAAATTGCCGTCTTCCTAACATGAAGTCAACTAAGTCTTCTTGTAGACATAAACGCACTTTCATCGAAGTTACTATCCAAATTGTTATCTTCCTACCAGGAACTCAATATTCTTATACAGAGAGAGAGACACATTTTCACGTCTTCTTAATTCAGTAACTTGAAATGAAAGGGTTTCAAATCCCTTCTCGCCCAACAGCTTATATGAGAGAGAGAGAGAGAGAGATGATACCCAATAGTGAGGGGTGGAGGCCCTAGTGATTGTGGGGGAGGGTGAGGAAATACGAAATTGGACGAATTTTGAGCAGACTTGTGTTGCTCATGCTGCTGCGTGTGTTCCACTCCATTTTGCTTCTCTTTTTCCTTCCCCTGCTAGTTAAGAGCAACACATCAGTGCAGTGCAGTAATTTCAGTTTCTCATACAAGAAAGGAAATAATTTCAAATATACCTTCTTTACCAATAAGTTGTTCTGCACCTGTAATGATCTCTCCTGCCAGCAATATAGGAGTCTTCTTTGTTATTTCCCAAATTAAGTTGATAAAAAGAAAAATTACAAAAGACAGCTTTCTTTACTGCAATCCTTCTTTTATAAATCATATCATTGGACCCTTCTTCTACAACACAAGTTTGCTTTCATTGATAAACTTTTCCACGATTTTGAGGTTCTACGGGCTATAGCAATCAGAAACAGATATACAAGGAGACATAAGTTCCCTGATGCCATTCCCATTGGTAAAATACATATTTAATCCACTTCAACATAACAGCTATTCTCCAAAGAGGGAAAAAGAGAAAAAGAATTAGTAGATGACTCAGTTAGCTTTAGAAAGAATACGAGAAGGTTCTTTTCCACAAATCAGAAAATGGTTGCAGTATAATCAAGAATAGATGCCGAAAATGTAAGAAGTTTGAAGAAGATGGCTGAGAATCAGAAAAGGAAAAAAAAAAAAAGAAAAGAAAGAAAGAAAGAAAACCCTAGCAGAACTTTGTGGGTAACATGAATCCTAATAACAATTTTCATAGCCGGACCCAAACCCATGTAAAGGAGGAAGGTTGGGGTAAGTTTGACAATGAGCATAAACTGCCAAATCTTATGACATGAATCTTAATACATGAGAAACAGTGTGTAGGTTGTTGTTTGATATCTTTCTCGTTTATCTGTTTATTCTTGTTTTAGTCCCCTGATTGATAAAATAACAATTGCTACGACTCATTATCATTAGATATAACAACAGAAGCATTGCTTCAATGTTCTTTGGTTTTGACATATCAGAAAATGGTTGCAGTATATATAATCAAAGAATAGATGCAAACAATTTTTAAGATGGCTCAGAATCAGAAAGGGTAACATCCTTTAGCCTGTGGGAGAAGGGTATAGCAACTGACAACAGGAGAAGAAACCCTATGTATGTTTCAAGGAGGGAAAAAGGTTTTTCTGTTCTTAGAGATGTATAAGTATTTTTTATCACAATCTTTTATCATATTCACATGTTGGGAAAAAGCAAATTTAATAAGCATACAACTCTCCACTTAATTTACACATTTAGACAGCGGATGGAATTTTAACTTTTTGCTTCTTTAATTCTGTCAAAACACTGTTTAATGTTACATAAACAAACAAGTTACTTAACGTTTTAAAGATGGTACTAGGATTGAGTCAATTAGCATTGCAGGGTTTTCAGTTATATAGATGCTTGTGCAGCAAAGGATGCAAAGCTATAAAACAAGAACTGTAGTTGTTACCTTTTTTTGAAGTTCAGAAATGGACTCATGCATGAGTTGGTTCTGCAGTATATATGTTCGAGAAAACATAACTAATATTGCCATGAATCTTATGTAAACGGAGATACTTGAAAATATAGAAGAAAAGATGTTAACTAAGTTACCTTCCTCGTTCTAATACGTTTCAGAGCAGTGTCAAGTTGTTGCTCCAAACTCTGAAGCTCTCTCAAGCTGAGCGGATCCAAATCTTCTCCCACATAGTTCCTACAAAATGATATACATTTACCCCGATTTAATTGGAATAGATGTAAGATTGGAGCCAAACTTTCATTTTGCTCATTCAAACTCTAGTAGCTAATACAGCATCAGGATAACTATTTATGATTATTTATCTTCTAACGAGTATAAATTACCTTATGTTTCTTTGTAAAAGTTCAATCCGAGCCACAAGCTTGGGGAACTCGAGATTCCAGTTTTCCTGCATAAATGCATGTAATGGATATTGATATTAAAAATATGAAAGATATAGTAGTAACATGTACCATCTCGTTTTTCTTAATTAATTTTGTCTTACATCAGCTTATTGGATTTGTTTCCTGGTGTTTATGAGTCAAGTTGTGTTCTACTTATGGTTTTCTTTTGGTTAATGATCTTTTCTCATATACCCAAAAAACTGGCTCATTGAAAAATCTTGTTCAGGCCACGGATCAGACATTGTGTATGAACTCTAGATCAACTACTCTATTCATAAACTAGATTGATGATTATTCAAGATCAAGGGTAGGTAATTATTGGAAAAATGATGTTCAATGCATCTTTCTTCAAAGCACATGTTCATAAGTAAAGATTAATTTCTGATGGTCCCTTTTAAGCAAGACTTGTGAAACGCCGAACTTTAATTTCGAGTATTTTGGTCCACTCCAAAACTAATTTTCTTATTGTGCAAAATTTCATCGAAAAGAGTTATCTTTTTATGCTCGTCGTTCTGAGTTTTTATCATGCAGACTCCATTACTGAAGCAAACATATTTACCTCTTTCCAGATCTGCCCAACACTATGTTCACTATTTTCATAGACTTTATATATCTCATATTCTGTTAACATAATACTATTTCTTATTATCAATTTTGGCTTCAAATTATAAAATTCCTCAAATCCCACAAAAAATGTCTCGCACAGTGTGGTAGTAAATAGAATTTGAAATTTGTTCTATGTTTTCAGAAATTGGGAATGATATTGATAGACATACCAAGAAACAAACATAGACAAACTTAGCCTTCCCTTCCTCTTTGGAGCCTTGCGTTTTTTACTTTATTTAATATAGTTTATACTTCTTTGAATTGTCAAAGAAAACAGTACCAATATGAACCCCAATTGCATTGACAGCATAACTAGTACATTGGTGAACCTATTTAGGATACATGAATTTGCAGGTTATATACAGATCTAAAAATTTATTAGTCACTGTACTGCAATGGTGAAGTCTGTAGACATGGTCACTGTACTGTTTTCAAGAAAATTGTGTTCTAGTATGTGTGTCGTCTATGTTTGATCTTAATGAAAGCTCCCAAAACTGGATGTAAGCACAAATTGTGGTTGAACATGGATAAAAAAAATTGAAAATAGATAGTCAGTAGTAAATGTTTTCATATATTGGTTTTGATGGCTTAATTTGGAACTCTACAAGGACATTATGGGGTGTTTGTTTTTGATTTTTTGATTCTACAGTAAATCAATTATTATTTTCAACCACACATTCTTCAATAAAATAATATTTTCCATCACATCAATAATTTTTTCTTCTTTTTCAACCACACATTTCCCATATATCACTATTCAAAATCAATTCTTCCCTA